TAATGTTATTTAATGTTATTGAAAAAATTGAAGGAAATATTATTGGAAGAGGTAAGAAAATATAATGTGAAGAATTGAAATAGAATGAAGTGAGACAGTATGGAATGATGAAAATTATGTGAGAAATGATGTAGAAATGACTTAGCTATTGCTTGAAAAAAAAAAGGGAATTTTTAAATTTCATAAACCAAGGCATAATTTAAATTTTGAATGATGTAGGAATGGCTTAGGAACCATTCCTATCGGTTATATCTGACATGAATAAGTACTATTACTGTCGGTTATATCCGACAGGATTAATCAAAATTTTGGCCTAGTCAGGGGCTGGTTGGCAGGCTGGCTGGATTGGGCTAGCCTGTTGGCCCTTTCGTCCTTTCAGATTTCGTGGGGCCCACGAGCCCTCTTGCCTAGCCCTGGATTGGATAATGCACTAATTCAAGGGATTTTTTTTATAGTGTTTTGTAGTATCAGGTACTCTAGACTTTTGTTAAGTAAGAATGAAGGTTTAGTATGCAAATAAAGCGTTCGTATTCATTCACGAGAGTTGAACTCACGACATTATAACTTTTTAAATATGATGATTTCATAATTTTTTTTTTTTTTTTTTTTTTGCTTAAAATTCTTATAGGTTTGCTCAGATGAATAAATGAGAACAGAAGCCCAGTAAATATGTAATCTTATAACTTATAAGGAGCAAGAAATTAAGGGCACCAACAAATCTCAAAAAATTTTGTAAGTGCCAACCAGTAAGTGTGTACAACTGGGAGTAATAATGCACTAACTCAAGGGATTTTTTTATAGTGTTATGTAGTATCAAATACTCTAGACTTTTGTTAAATATTTGGTCGAAAACATAAAAAATGGATTTTTTATAGTGTTCTGCAGTATCAGATACTCTATACTTTTGTTAAATATTTGATCGAAAACATAAAAAAATATATATATCTAACAGTTAAAAGACCTTGAGTGCATACAGATATTCCAGAGCAAGATAAAATCATGCTAATCCGGATACTCAAGTTACCTTTACAGTGTGAGCACTGTATTTAATAGAACGACGTCAAAGTGAGTTGGCACTAAGTCCAGCACTGCATTGATTGAAAAATAGAAAACCTACGAGACTATATATGAGTTCACACAATCCATCCATATTCAACTTTTTTCCTTCAACTAATTCAAATTCAATTTATTCAACATCTCCCTCAAAAATATTAAAAAAAAAAAATTATTCAACATCAACAAAAATCTCACAATGATGTGATGCATGCATGTTTGCTTTTTGAACCAAATCCCATTAGTTCTTTCCTAGAACCCGAGCGACCAAAGACTGAGAAATTCTTAATTGTCCTCGAGACAAATTATAGCCCATCATTCCATGAGTGGAAAACACTATTTTCTTCCCAGTATTGACTTGTCGCAAAAGGTATAAAATAAAATTCTTTGATATTTTTAGGTTGTAATTCCACAGTTCACATTATGTAAAGTTACTAATAGAAAAATAACCATATAGATAGTCCTCCTAAGGTTAAATTCTATGCAAAGAAGAACTCAAAATCAAGTAGTTTAGAATTTAAGACTATATATAATATGTAAATGTCAGTTTTTCTGAACATAATTTATAGCCACTTTTGAATTTTTTACATATATTGTTCACGTCGATATTGTGCTTATGTATAACCAATGATTTAAATATCCACTAAATTGTTGACATTTTCGTTGAAATAACAGAAAAATAAAGGATCGATATAGAAAGCCAGGGGGGGAGGGGATGAAATGCAAATTTTAGCCTATATCGCCTAGATATAGAAAAATCAATGAACATCGATGGTATTACCAATTCATTGCATAAATTTTATCAGAACCCATTGCAAATTTTGAACTTTTGAATTTTTTTACGAAAATTTCCTCTATTTTTTGACTAAATCTAACTGTACCCTCCCCATTGCAAACTTTTATATATAATTTTCATCGAAGACAACTGATATCAATATATCCACCGATATTTTCATAAATTTGCAATCAATATTTCCACCTATATGGATATTTTAAACACTGTGTAGGCTTGAAGACACAAGATGAAATGCTCCTAAAAAAATAAATTAGACATTCCAATAACCCTAAAATTATAGAATTAGAAAGAAAAATATTCCTTACAACTTCATTTAGCTTTCACTATTACTAGTGGAGATGTACAAACAGCATATCCGGTTTGGAAATTGTCTCTAACAAAATTATATACTTCTTTTTATCATGTTGCGTTCTTATCTCTCTAGCTAGGCATTTGACCAAAAATAAAAATCTCTCTCGATCTGCATTTCCTCCACATTCTACACATAGTATCAAATTCCAAATTCTGGGTCCAAACCAACATTATTGTGCTGGTCCCTTCAAAAAATTCGAAGTCGCTAGAGGATAAATGTTTGTTTTTTATTTTTATTTTGTAGGGTTTGAGTGGAGGCCATAGGCCAATGGACGAACAATTTCCCCATTTGCAATACTGGGAAAAGAGAGAGTTAATAATTAAAGAGCATATACCAAAGTTGAAGGTAACAGTGGCTACGAAAGTTGAAGGTAATGGTGGCAATGGTGGCATATATAGCAACCTAATGGAAAAGAATACAATACCAAAATTCGCATATATAAATGAAACCTAAAGCTGGAGCCAAGTATAGCTTAAGAGTAGATCATGAAATGGTTTTAACCCGAAAAGCATAGGGTTGAAAAGCTCCTTATTACCAAAGCAATTCACTACTTGTTGATGTATTTGGTTGAATTGGTTTTTTTTTTTTTTCTTTTGAAAATTGAAATAACATTACAAAGGGAGATCCCCGGCGGTTGTCAAATTAGGATATTGTGCTACTCATTTTTGTTATTATACGGAGTTGGATCGTTGAATTGATTGATTCCCTCCCATATTCAACCAATATTGTTCTATAGTTCTTAGTGGTTAGTGTTGATAGGAAGAAATCTTTGTTATACTAACCATATGGGACCAGGACTATCCTTCATGGTAAAATTAACTGTATTCGTAAAGAACCTAATCAACTTAATTGGTTGTTTGAGTTAAAGGGGGAGTAATTTTTTACTCCTTTATTGTCCACCATTACTCTTCATTTTGGCATTGACAAAATCTTTCGAAATCTTAGTCTTAATCAACTCAAATGGCCATTATAACAAACCTTAATCCCTATCTGGATTTGATTTCAGAGTTGATATAGGAAACAAGTAAGGTTAGAGTTTAATTATGAATTATGAGTAGTCCTTGTGCATCAAGTTAAGTGATAATTCCGAATTTAAATTAGTGGAATCAAGAGATTTCTCATGTTCTTCATGATTTTAATAGCACAAAACCGTGCTCTGATACCTCATGTAAGTCTTATGCCACTAAAACACAATGAATACGCTAACCTAGAATGATCGACATGATGAAAGAGATGGTGAACTGCAATTAGAATGAACTCAAGACCTTCTACTCACTCATTGCACCTTTGTCACATGAACTATATGGGGAGTTTCAGGGTTTTGTGATGATTGCAGCGTGAGCAGCGACCTCAAGTATTTACAGGCTTCAATCTAATTGAGACTTACCCATAAACAGACTCTACTTGAAGCCCTACTAGCCTATGGATGTAATATCAAAGTATACGAGGCCTTCTTAGCACATGAGAACTCCTTAATTGCACTAATTTTCTTTTTGAACAAACGATATTATCTACACTAAGGGAGTAGGGATGAGCTAAGTATCATAATGACCTAGCAATAATGTGGTTCAAATTCACCTTTGGCGATAATCGAACCTAATACCTCACACTTACAAGTGAAAATGAATACCACTAGACCTCTCACTTACAAGTGAAAAGGAATACCACTAGACCTCTCACTTAATTGCACTAGTTTAAATTTGGGACTACCACTTAACTTGGTACACAAGAAATAATCATAATTAAACTCTAACCTTACTTGTCTCCTAAGTCAATTCTAAATTGAATCCGGATATGAATTAGGGTTTTAATCTAACACTCTATTCTCCATCACTAAAGCTTATGTACCCATCTAGCATCCTTGTAACTAAATCCGGATATGAATTAGGGTTTTAATCTAACACTCTATTCTCCACCATTACTATTTTCTTTTGGTATAAATTAGCAGTGCATAAAGGAAAATAAAGAGTGAATATTACCCTTGAGTTATACTAGTGGTTTAAAAAAGTATAAGGATCCATTCTCACGCATCCTTGTTAAAAAAAATTCCTACTCCCTTGTATTATTATAATAATTTCAAACTCTCTCTGGCCTCTTAATAAAAGTTATGCATTATCGTAAAAAGTCACATTGAAAAAGATTTCTAGCTTAAGATCATTGATTAAACATGCATTTAATAAATTTGACAACAAAAGCTAATAGGCATATTATGACTCATCTGAAAGTGCTTATAAAATAACTGAAAACATTTTTAATTAGAATGTTTTTGGAATTAATCTTTAGTAAAAATGCTAATGAATCATAAAAAAATACCTTCATGTACTTTTAAAACAAAAAAAAAAAAAAACACTTGAATCAAAACCTTTTCAAACATAAACACTTTCACATGAATCGTTATCAAAACAACATCCTCTTCAACTGTAAGCTTATATTGTCGTATAAGATTTGGACTGACTTGTCGACATAATAATAAGCTTTTACTCGATTGACGATTTTATCGAATTGGTTTCGTCGTCGTAACGTAGGAACAACGGTTATGGATTTCACCTTTCTGTTTAACGGTTATGGATCACGTGCCTAACACGTGGGAGATCACGTAAAGCACACATTTACCGCACGTCAAAATGAAAAGACGAAAACACCCTCACATATACCTGAATATCGAACCCAAAACGAAAACTCCCGCTACTTTCCCTACGCCACGTCCGCGAGTCAAAGTGAAAAGACAAAAACGCCCTCACGAGTCAAAGTGAAAAAAACTATATAAACCGACTCCCGCTATTTTCTGCTTCTCTAGCCAACCGATATACACACACGCCCTTCTCTCTCTCATGGATTCCCCTTCTCGCTCCTCTGTCATCATTGTCGGCGCCGGAGTCTCCGGTGAGTGACAATCGCCACCGTCGATTTTCCAATTCCTAATTTTAAATCTCGTTTCTCACTTCGTCCGTTTAATTTCTTCTTATTGAAAGGTTTATCGGCGGCGAAGGTATTGATCGAGAACGGCGTGGAGGACGTGGTGATTCTGGAAGCTTCCGACCGTATAGGTGGCAGGATCCGAAAACAGGATTTCGGTGGCGTATCGGTGGAGCTTGGCGCCGGTTGGATAGTCGGAGTCGGAGGCAGAGAGTTGAACCCGGTCTTGGACCTCGCCCGGAAATCGAATCTCCGCACTATCTTCTCCGATTACAGTAATGCTCGCTACAACATCTACGATCGCAGGTCCATTACGACGCCGTTTCTCTTCGGTTCATTCATTTATTTAGCTAATTTGTTCCCTGCATTTTCGTTTCGCCGCCTCAATTTAGCTTCCACGACGTTTGTGTGCTACTTTGCGCCGTTGGAGAATTAATTGGCCTCCGCATTTTTGTCATACCGTCGCACTTTAGAATTTTCATTTTTTTTTTTTTGCTGCTAATCTGCGCCGGCGGAGAACTATTTGTTTTGGCACCACCGGGGTAAATTAGCGTCCACGTGGACTGTTTGTTCCTAAACTGCGCCGCGGGTGGAGAATATTATTACTAACCCACTCGCCGAGTTAACTGGGTATTTTACTTTTTTTTTTTTTTTTTTATTTCAGCGGGAAGATATTTCCTAGAGGACTCGTGGAAGAGACGTACAAGAAGGAAGTGGAGTCGGCGGTGCAGAAGCTGAAGAAGCTGGAAGCCGGCGGCGGCGATTTCTCCAATGTCACCGAACCGCCCACGTAATCTCCTTTCTCAATCGTTTTAATTTTAATGTCTCAATAGCTTTGGCTTCTACTTCTTAACAAATCCAATTTTTTCAAATTATTATTATTTTATATTAGTTTTATTTATTATTATTTGCGTTTTCTGTATTTTGTGGTAATTTCCGCGAAATTTACCTGAAACTGTTGATTTTGTATATTATTCACAATTATTTTATTTTAGTCGTGTGGAATCTGATTATTTTGTTTATGGGTGTGGTTTGTCCAGTACACAGAAAACGCCGATAGAGCTCGCCATTGACTTCACCCTACACGATTTTGAGATGCCAGGTTAGTTTTCACAGGTCATCCTCGGTCAATTTTCTGTTTGGGTGCTGAGACAAGAACATGAAATTCCCAATTTTTTTTATTTTCTAGTGATGTTTTAAAGATTTTTAGTCAAAATGATTATTGAGTTGTCATAATTTCTCATTTTAGTCTCTGATATGAAAGTTGATAAAAATAGTCTTTGAGTTTGTATTAAATTGTTACGTGAACGATTACGTGACCACCTTTTTAAGAGTGTTTTTATTAAACCAACCTCATCACTTAACATGAATATTGACAGATTTTTCATAAAATGATCAAAATGATTTACGATGGACAAACTCAGGGATTATTTTTACTGATTTTAATTGTCATGCAACAAAGTGACGAGTTATGTAGATCTCAATAACTATTTTGACTAAAAGGTCTTGTTTTAAAAATGCAATTGATTCTCTGGGCGGCACATAAAGGAATTTTGTTTTTTAATTTATATTTTTTTTGTCAAACAATACATTTGTTGGATTAGATGTTAAAAGTAAGGAACGGAGTTTGAATCCACGATGTGGTAGAAGACAACACATCTTTCCACCATTGTAGTAGAGAGCCATTTGCTTATAATTTATCTGGAAATCTTGTTCTTTTATTTTGGAGATTGTTTGATGTAAATTAATTAAGGTTGGTAATGTTTTAGAAAATGATTTTTGAAGTGCTATATTATATAATGAAAACGACAAATAAGATTTGGAAAAAAATTATTTTGATTGTGAATTGTGAATTTGAGAAATGGAGGATTTTGATTGTGGTGCAGAAGTAGAGCCCATATCAACCTTTTTGGATTATGGAGAACGAGAGTTTATGGTTGTGGATGAGAGAGGGTATGAGCATATGCTGTACAAAATGGCTGAAGATTTTCTCTTTACATCTGAGGGTAAACTGTTGGACAGTCGTCTCAAGTTCAATAAGGTACCAGAATCTCATCCTTCTCGTTTTCCACTTTTTAGCTTATTTGCTTTGCCCAATCATTTCGATTTGCTTAGAGATAAGATGTTATTAATAATGAATTTCTAGTCCATTGACTTATCCTTCGTACAAGGCTTTAATCTTTGCTGCGTTACAAGGTCATGCTGTAAAGCTTTGCAAAATTCGCTTTCTCTACCCAATAATAGGATGAAAAAAATATGGACGGATGTGAGTAAAATACAAATAAAGGAAGAGAAAGTGGGAGGGGAAAACTCTGGATTTCTGCTTTGTTTGTATGCAAACGCAGTCTTCCTTTTCTTCTTGAGTTTGACCCAGCTTTGCAGTCATGTAGATAATGACGTTTCTGAAAGCTGTTTTTTCTTTTGTTTTATGAAATTATATGATACCTATCATTATTATATTGTAACATACAGTACACCCTTCTTTCTTCGAGGGTCAACTAATTTTTTTTGTTTCTTTTTAGCAATTTTTTTAGACTAAATTTAAAAATTAAATAATATAATACTAATAAGAAATAAATACATTAATTAAATAATATAACACTAATAAGAAATAAATACATTAATTAACACTTAAATAATAATTTAATTATCAACTTCTATGTCATTTAGTTTATAAAATTTAATCTATAAATTTAGCATTACCTTTTATACGTTAGTAACTTAGTGTGAATTAGTGCTATTCACACACACCATTTTATCTTTCACACTCTTGTGAATTTTTTTTCCATTGATATTCTTCAATTTATTTAATTTGATGATCGAAAATTAAGAGTGTTTAAAAAGTAAAAAATTGATTTATGGATAACACAACCCTATATATTATTGTATTTGCACGTGTTCACAGAATTTTTATTTTAGTTTTCCAAGATAAGATATTTTTTTTTGTAGATAATGCTTTACAGTAATGTCGAAAAGAATAATTTCTATGCACTTGATTGCGAGTTTGATCCACATGGTTTTTTTTTTTAATATGTAACAACTTACACGTTATTGTTTGTTTAAAAAAATATTTTTCGATTTTTTATTTATTTACCATAGATAAATCATAAGTTTGCCTTTTCTAAACAATTATCCACCCATGAAACTTTGCATATACTCTTTTTTTGTCATTTTTTGATATCCATTATCCAGGGTCATTCACATACTTATTTTTACTTCTAACATACTTGGTTAATTTTTGTTTATTGATCTTCTTTAATTTATTGAATTCAACAACCAAAAATTAAAAAAATTATGTAAAAAATAAAAATAAATATGTAAATAACACAATTCCATCCAATAATGGTGGTTGTTTTTTTCGTATACATTGTTATATGTAAATTGCGTGGCTTCTTTGACTTCCATTTGCACAATTATTTACCTCCGAGCGGATCCGAAACCTTTTCTTTCTTTTTCTCTTTTGGTTTAAACTCGTCCATACATGAAGAGACGCGATCCTTGAGACCTTTAAAGCCCTTTTGGCTTTTACCACTCACATAAATTTGTAGGCCCCAAGAGCAAGATAATAGGAAGTAGTGTTGTGCTGTCAACTTTTTGTCCAGTTCATGGGCTGCTGTCTTCCCCTCCTCATTTGTTGAAATAAACAGATTTCATGTCACGTTTCATTGAGCAGTCTGCATGAAACAGACCTCGTGGCGCTTCGGTGCAATCTGGAGACAAATTTGCACGACATGATATTAATAGATTGAATAGTTACAATGACCTGACAGCGTTCTATGCAACATTTTTTCTTGTTTTCTTGTAACTTAAAAACTAACATAAATGGGTTAATGGTTTGAATTTTGAGCAGAATCCGTTTCAATAAGTCTTTACCCTCTCATCCGAATGAAGTTTCTCTTATGCTATTTAAGTTATATATCTGAACAAGAGTCATTAAATTTCATTAGGTTAAATAATTTGACGGTTTTTTTTAGGTGTTTAATTTAAATGTGTATTATAGATACCCTTCATCTTTGATTTCAGGATTTTCTGGGGTGGTTTCCTTGGGAACTTCACATGTTACTTTTTATGGTTATATAAATATTTTTACTGTTATCCATTTATGAGAAGATGATTCCAAGCTTGATTTGGGGCAGGTTGTTCGGGAGTTGCAGCACTCGAGAAACGGCGTTACGGTAATGACGGAGGATGGTTGCGTCTTCCAAGCAAATTACATGATTTTGTCAGTTAGCATTGGTGTTCTCCAAAGCAACCTCATTGCTTTCAATCCACCCTTACCCGTACGTCTCTTTTTTTGTTCATATCATTTCAATGAAATGATTTAATTCATATCTTTGCCAATTACGTGTTTATATGTTAATTTGCTCACATGACATCAGCCGCCTTCACAACTCCTCCGCATGTATGTCTGTCACTGGACTCAATTGCCCCCGCAACCTTACCAACATAGTACGTGGGCGTGGCTTTTAGCTATTGGTCATGGATTTTATGCCCCTCTCTTTCTTCATGCTTTTCACACTGATTTTTGTTTGCATTAATGGGGAAGAGTCTTTGTCCAACGTAAAGATACAGCGGGATCTCAAGGGCTAGGTCCCCAACATATGGGTCCCTTTAGATGGGAGTTTCCTATTTGTTTACTTCGTATATTTAAGGTGTGGTCCGCATTATTGAATGCAATTTAGATGAAGAGTCAGAAATTATGGATAGCGGGGCTCATTAAATAAGTTTCACTGGCTGATGACGCATGAGAAAGATTAGGAATCTGTTTTTTTATATGCCAAATGCCAAATTGCCAATACCATGGACTTAGGATCCACAGAATTTTAACCCATTTGCTTGCCAATAGGTTAACTAAATGTAGGCTGTGCCTTGCTGCTTGGTTCACTAAATGTAGCCTGTAGGTGTTGAATGCGGTGGACAAGAAAAAAGAGAATTGTATTCTATAGCTTCTGCCTTAGTTTCTTGGGGTAGAATGGATAATCTTTTAGATCTCTTTTAGTAATAGCGGGGTTAAATAATCAAGGAAAGAAAAGTGATCGGTAACATCATTTCATTTGCCTTACTACATTAGGTAGTGCATATGCATTTATGACTCTAAACAGTTAGATGTAACAACGGTGAAGTAGCAGTGGCTGGTGCTACAAAGATAAGATAATATAGAAGGATCTCCGAGTTTTGATTGGTTGGGATTGGATTTACTTATTGCTTATTGTTATTTGATGGTTATTAGGGTTTGTATGTAACCGTTCCCAACTTGTGCCTTTGTTAAGCATTGTCGAATAATCATCTGCATGTTTTGCACCATACATTTTAGCAGCTAATTCTTAGAGTAGTTGGTAGTCCAAATTATATGCTATCTGACTATGCAGTTGTGACATGATTGCCGTTTGAGCCCATTGTATATGATCTATACCTTTTCGTGCTGTATCCTGGAGTATAAGATCTATATTTATGCTTAGGCATATTTAGTAACGATGATGCAATTCCTGTTTTAACTTAACGAAACTGGTAGATAATTGGTCATGGTTACATTGGTTGTGACCCTATGACTGAAAGCGCATCTTATTCAAAGTCTCTTTTTGATATTGTTAGTGTACTTTGCTTGAAATCATGCTAACTTGATGAATTAAACAACACAGAGGTGGAAAACAGAGGCTATACAGAAATGTGATGTTATTGTATACACGAAGATCTTTCTGAAGTTCCCGTATAAGTTCTGGCCTTGTGGACCAGGACAAGAGTTCTTCCTCTATGCCCATGAGAGGAGAGGCTACTACACATTTTGGCAGGTTGGTTTAAATATTTGTCATTCTCGACGCCAGCTAGCAATATATGAGTTTTCATTTCCAGCAGATAAATAGATTCCATATGTTGTGTTGTGCACTGAATTTCCAACTAGCCTGTCATATTTTCATGCCACTACTACTTGTTTAATTTAGTAAATAAATGGTCCTCGTCAAGGATCAGAAGATGACAACATTTCAAATGTTCATGCCCAGTGTTGTGGTTCATGCACCTTTGGAAAACAACAAAATTTACGATTGCGCACTTACAGGATCTTTAAACACAATCTTCACTTTGTATAATCATGTTTTGGCTGTCTGCTGTATGACCGAGCTGTCATTTTACTTTGAGTTGATAGGATGCTTCCCCAATGTTAGTACATAAAATTACACATTTCTTCCATTTTAGATAACCCTCAGTAGTTGGTTATGAAACTTGACAGTGACCTTGTCGAGAGTATGCTGCATGTGTTTTAGCATTAGTTTGTAAAAATATCTCCGTCTACAATTAGGTAACAAATATTGATTCCTGTTGTTCTTGTTGTTATGATTAATAAACTAGTATCTCTCGCAGTATTAGTTTGAATGGTTCTTCCTTTCGTGAAGCTACGATTAACAAGTTTGTATAATGCGTACGTCAATCAAATCTTAAATGTGTATATTATTAAAATCATTTTCCTTGGTTTTATTAGGAAAGAAACTATACATATTATGGAGGCATTGTGGGATGTCACTGTCTTTCATCTTACAATACGACTTATTTGACCGATATATGTGGAAATTTTCTGAACTACTATTATGACAAATAAAATAAAATATGCGAGACTGATAACTATAGTATATTTTAACTTTACTACTAACCATATTCTCTCCAAGCTGGCTGCTAATCTGTTGCCATGCCATCAGCACATGGAAAATGCTTATCCTGGATCCAATATGCTGGTCGTGACGTTGACGAATGGGGAATCAAAGCGTGTGGAAGCTCAGTCTGATAAGGAGACGTTGAATGAAGCCATGGCGGCTCTTAAGGACATGTTTGGGCCGGACATTCCGGAAGCTACTGATATACTTGTACCTCGCTGGTGGAACAATAGATTCCAGCGCGGCAGCTACAGTAACTTCCCTATGATCTCTCATAACCAATTCGTTCATGACATCAAGGTTTGCCTTCTCTCTCACTTAAACGTTTTGTTTCACCATAGATCAATTTCACTTAATGTTTTTCACAGAAGCTTATCTTCTAGTGAAATTTGGAAGCTCCTACTCTATGATACAGTTGCATGTGGTTTGCCACACGTGCCATTAAGATCCACCCGTGCATATTTTGCATGTAGCGTGAATTAGTTGTCTAGTCACATGGTGTGCCACATCATGGCTTAAGACAATTTCGTACATGAAAAATAAGAGAGAAAAATTAGAGGTTTAGCTACATCATTGCTCACCTAAAGAGCATTTGATATCGTTTCGTATTTTTTCCTTGATCGATGAGAAGGTCTCAATCTTATAAAAACTTTGAAATGAATTGACATTACATATTGTATTATGACCAGAACCCAGTAGGCCGCCTCTTCTTCACTGGGGAACACACAAGTGAAAATTTTAGCGGTTATGTCCACGGCGGGCACCTTGCAGGTAATCAATTAATTTAAGGTTCTTTCGGAGATTATAGGCGTCCAATTATAAACACAAGTTGTAACATCTTGTTTGTGTCATGTTGCTTGATGATCAATAGGTATTGAGACTGGTAAAGCGTTGCTAGAAGAAATGGAAAAGGAGAAGGAAAGGACTAGTGAGAGTGAAAACCAAGCGTTTTTGTTAGAACCCCTGCTTGCATTGACTGGTTCATTAAGTTTGACACAGAACGACGCTGTCTCAAGTCTCAAATGCGATATTCCTAAAAGATCATATTTAAGTGCCAAAGTTGGCATCCCGGAGCTATGTTATGACTAGGTTATTGGCAAAACACCACGATTGGTGACTGAAAACCAAAAAATAAGCATCGAAAAAGATCACGAGATGGGTTCAAATACAATCTCTATATAATCCTTGATGCCGTTTATAATGTAGAATGATGGGAGGGACAACAAAGCTGGGTTTGTGTGATAGTTGTTTGGTTCATAATGTTATAGGAAGGGGAGAATCAATGGAGGTTAAAGGGTTTCGGATGCGGGATGATAATGGTATGGGGGTATACACATGTAATAGTAGGCAATGAAACTAAGGGAAGAGCTAGATGGACGTAGGAACCAGGTTCTATTGTACTGGTACTGAATGTTAGTTTCAAAAGAAACAATCTTTCTCATTTTCTCTTAGCATTTATATTTAATCAAATTTTCGATCATGTCAAGAAAGCAATTGGTTTCCTTTGGATACATTCTTCTGTGGGCTACTGTTTTGTGCGTCTATGATTCCAGCCCAAGTGTGATTGGGTTTTAGATCCCGGTCCTCTCCTTGGCCTGATTTTTCAAGTAATTGTATTGATACGACACCCCAAAAGAGCCTCACAATATGAAGTTAAAGGATGGAAGAATTGGGTTAAGCCACACAATGTGCCGTTAAATATAAATTGGTATTTCTATTTACGAGAGTTAAATTTAAGACCTCCAACTTATAAGAGAAGAGAAATATCAATATATCATAGTACTAAGTAACATTTAGATAGTTGCACAAAACTAAAGGAAGTTTGGATGCAATTGTGCAATTTTCTTATCCGGGATTTGTTCTTTAATACAAAGACATATTTATCCTGATGGATGGGAGAATAAATTGATATTGAACCTTCATCCACGACATTCAAACTTAAAATCTTTCACTTATTTAGAGAACTATCACTAAACCGTATTATTAAGTGACATGTTTAAACTAGTAAAATCTCAAAAACTGCCTAACTCATCAAAGTATTGTAATGTTTGTTGCATTGAGGACGGTTGGGTCCAAGACCAAAACTAGCAAAAATAGTGGTTGAGTCTTAAGGTTGATGAAACCATCGGTTGGGTCTTGAGACGAGTACGTATTTATTCCATTCAACGTTTACGTTGATGAAAACCCACTCTCACACCTACAAATGACAAGTTGATTTATTCAAATTTATGCTAAGTTTCTGCCTTTCTATTTTTGCTAACTATTGATGATGGCGATTAGACAACTAATTGCAGGAGAAAACAGTATATACTATTTCATGCCATTAAAAGAAGTGGGCTACATCTGAGTTACTTACAAATTTACATCTAACTCTAAGTAAGATTCTAAAAAACGCAAAGCGCTAGTCGGGCGATCCGCTGGACCTAAAGGACTAGGCGGATTTAATTATTATATATTGCATAAATAAATGCTTATTTTTACTTAAAAAACACACAAAATTATACTGGGATACATAAATTGCAAAAATAAAATATAAAGTATTTGAACATATTGAAAACATGGGGAACAAACATATAATGAGTATTCATCCAAGTATTTAATATGTTTCTTACATTTTATTGAAAAATTAAAATATAAAATGAAAGTTATCAATTTTTTGTCTAAGTAAGGATCGCGACCTAGACGGGTGCTTAGGCGGGCTAGGCGGACACCTAAGTGGGTCTAGGCACACTTTCTTAATTTTCAAATGCCTACGGACTAATCAAGGCGGTGACTAGCCGCCTAGCGCCTAGACATGGATTTTTAGAAAAATGACTCTAAGTGATTGCCAATTGAGAATATGGTTGTGCATTGTAGAACTCACTGTTAACATGTCGTCACTTAATTACTAACTTAACACATTTTCTAACAGTTGTATGAAATCAAAATAAAATAATTACTAAACGTATGAGATTGAAATGTTATAAAAATGTTGTATAAAATTGCAATTGCACACATGAAGGAATAAAATATAATTTACCCTAGTATTAATGATTGAAATTGGAATTTGCACTCATTTTTTTAACTTGTTTATATTTGATTTTAATTGTGGATTAATCCTGAAATTATAAAAAAAAATCTGGATTTACATTTGTTGAATTGGAAGAATAGTATGTTCTTCACTTCATGACTTTGAAGGATGAGCGACATATGAGGAAGTTACTTGTATTTGATTCGATTACTGAAGTGGAAGAAGTATACCAGAAGTTGATTTGTTTTGTAAAGACCGTCTGCATTGAAGTTTTTTAGATTTGATATGTAGAACATACAGAATGGATCATGGAGTTGACTCTGCTGATATCAACGATTTAAAAAATGTTTTTTTTTGTTGAAATTGAAGTTTTTATTGTAAGTATCTTTGTCTTTTTTCAGATGAATGTATAGAATGTAATGCATTTTAAATGGCAAATTATATCATGTCATTATAAATTTCTCGATACTAATTGCGTATGTTTTATTGTTGTTTTTAGAACTGGAAAAACGTATATAGTTGATAATGGATTTGTTGTGTCGATGTTTATTTGTCGGTGTTGAAAGATGCGAATTGCTTGAAGGATGTGCTTACTTTGTTTGATCCTATAATTTATTTTGAAGAAGTCCCAAAATGATGAGTTTTGAAGGTACACCATAAGATTTTGTAAGCTTGATATGTTTAGCATAGGAGAAAGAAGAGTCCCATGAAATTAAAACTTGATGAAATCAAAGATGTTGAGTATATTTTGCTTTGAATGCCCACTGATGATTTATTCGCCACTTTGAAAGAAGTCGAACGAGCGTCCATGTTTGGGTAGTTGTTCGCATTGTTTTCTACTAGCTTCTCTTTGCTCGGCAGAAGGAATTGACAACTGATGCTTTGTATTTTTCTTTTCATTTTAATTCCAAATGTGATCAAAGTATCAATCCTACATCGAGGAAAGAAGGATTTTGCATGTGCTTATAAGTAATTATGTTACTTCTCATATTATTAATTGGTTTTATGTTGAAACCTCAACTTTTTTTCAAGAAGTCGCACTTTGTGTTTTCTAAATTCACTGAAACTGGATGAAAAACACAAATTTGCGAAGTGTCAAGCATTAGGTTCCGAAAAATGGTAATATTGCAATCAAGTGAAGATGTATTATCTTTTAAGTTTACTATTTTTATATTTTGATTAGGATACTTGATGCTTAGTTTTTTGTGTTAATTTAATTATTGATTTCTAGATATTCATAATAATTTAATTTTTGAAATCATGCAACTATTGAAATTAGTCTTTCTCATGTAAAATTATATTCCTTCGTAGTTGGTTTGTTAGTTAGCTATTCGCACTTTGTTTTTTAACTTGTTTATATTTGATTATAAGATTAATCTTGAAATTACAAAAAAATCTAAATATATAGTTGTTAAATTGGAATGATATAATGCTCTCCACTTCATGACTCTTTTGGTGCTTATGGTTTGACTAACTACTCTCTAGAGAGCTCAAGTAACTGTGACATGTTTTTCACATTTCTAGTGGTTGTGATCTTGTGGTAAGATATCAACTCAAGTGCTACTGGCCATATAACTCATCATCCTAAAGGCCTGGTTTGCGAGACTACTCACAATGTCAACGGTGTTGTCTCTCCCATAGTGGGGGTTGGAATAATTGATCTTACACCTACTCTCTCTTTACCCAATACTTGCTCCCTTTTTAAAGCATAAGTTAATGTGTGTTGGTCAAGCTAATGAACAATTAATTGTTATGTACTAATGCATCTTTGTCTTATTCAGGATAAGATAATTGGTCCATGGTGTACTAATGCATCTTTGAGTTGTGAATTGGGTACGCAGGGCATCGGATGACAAAAAGCAACAAGTGTTGTTGTGGCTTCGCCGTTTGGACCATCCATTTGTAAGTTATTTGACGCATTTGCTACTGAACATATTTGTTGATTGTTCGGATTCTAACTTTAAATGTGACACTTGCATTTTGGCCAAGAGTTATCACACTACAAGAAAAATGAGCTATGGGTACAAAATAAAGGACACAATTGAGAATTTTGTGCCTGTTTGACCATCAAAAGACTGAAACAGTTCTCATTTCACAAAGGGCATCATTGATTGTGCCTATTGTAAAAAAAAATAGGCACAAATACATTATCTGACAGCTTTATTTAAAAAAATGGCTCTAATATATTATTTGTGCCCATAGTTTACTTCTAAAGACACAATTCTTTGTTCTTTATTATTTTTTTTCAAAAACTTGTGGTCCACATCCATCCAACACTCTCTTTTCCGCTTAACTCACCCACTTCTATCCAACTCTCTCTCTCTCCCCCCTTAACCCACTGACATCCTTCCTAATTATCCCCACTATCACTCCCCCTTAGCCCGCCCTCAACCATCCAACTCTATCTCTCTCTTCCCCTAACCCACGACACCCTTCGTAGATCATACTCCCCTCAACCCACCCACATCCATCCGTCTCTCTCTCTCTCTCTCTCTCTCTTCCTCTCCCCTTAACCCACACACATCCTTCATATTTATCTCTTTCATATTTCCTTATTTTTAGTTCTGGCTCTTCCCTCTCTGTTCTCTCTAAAACGACCAAGCCGGACTCGCCGGCCAAGTTTCGACCAAAACTGGGTCTCGACCCAATAAAGAAAACTGATCCTCTCAAGTGAGCTTCCTATCTATGTAAGTGGGTTTCTTCAATTTTAACTTTTAGATGTGAAAAATTATTGAGATTTAGGACTAATTCGGTTTTAACTTGGCATGTTGAAGATTTGGTTAGTGGTTTTGTTTGGGAGATTGAATTCAAGCTGAACTGTAAGAAAGTGGTTCAAATTCTTGGATTTAGGTAAGAACCCGAGAAACCCTAACCCTAAACGTAGCCTTCTTTCGATTTCTAAGAGCTTGGCTTGTTTTTTGTGTGTTTTTATGTGAATTATTTGAAGGGTGGTGATTTTATATATGAAAATCTGAACTTTTTGCCTGGAATTTAAGTAGGTACAATTGTATGGAGGAATTGGTTAGAAGAGATTGTATGTGTACCAGATCTGGGTTTTTTCAAGCCGCACCAGATCTGAATTAGTGTTCTTTTTGCGGCTTGAGTTTATATATTTTCAGATATGAGTTATTTATTATTGTTTATTTTCTGTATGCACGTCACAGTTTACTCACTTGGAGACTCGCTCCTATCGTACACAATTTTCATGTACCTCCCTGTCTCTCTTGTTCTATCAATTTTTGTAGTTCTACATTTGTGTGTTCTGTTTGTTGATTAAATTTAATGAATTAGATCGATGGTTTTAATTTTTTAATACTAGTCATTGACTTTGGCAATGAGAGGTCCAAATGCTGCATATATCATCCAGATTAGTTCGTCTGTGGAGCAAATGGAAAGATAATGTCATAACAATGTTGTATTGTTTTCTTGGATGGAGAGTTGATTGCCCTGTTTTTATGTGTTTGGTAATGCAGATACGAGAATGTAACTGTGGTGGAGA